GGGAGGGGGGGGGGGGGGTGAGAGAGAGGAACGTCGGACACATTATAAGTAGTGCGGGCTAATATGAATTACACGGTCGCGATGCTAGGGGGGTGTTCATGAAAATAACTCCGCGCCACGCTTTGTGCGTGTGACGTGCGACAGAACGTCGCGTCGCGTCGCGTCGCGCCGCGTCGCGTCGCGTAGGCGCATCCATCATTCCGGCAACCGGCTATCTCTCCTGGACGATATACGCGAGATTGAGACGAAGATACGAAAATATAGCCAGCCGTGGCGAGATGAGTTCGTGATAGAGCTCATCCGTTAAGGAAACCCCGATCTCTCTCCGCCGTATATTGACTGAAATTGCGCCACGGTTGTTTCTCTCTACCTCTTCCTGGAAACAGGATTTCAATTCACGATCGTCGTGATTTTCGCATGAATAGAGAATAGTTCTCCGCGAAGTGAAAGGTCGTCGAAAATGTTGAGGAGATCTTGAGATTTCGATGAAACGACGGTCGTTCTTCTTGATAATAAATGCACAGCGTGTAATTCGAAGGTGGTTTGCGCTGAAGGCGCGCGTCCCTTCTCCTGGTTGATAATTTAATTATCGGTCGGAAGGAGAGTTCTAGACGTGAGAGGCACCGGGTGCCAAAAACCGTTTGAGTCGAGGAACTCGTCGCGAGCGAACGTAGAGGCACAGTCAGGCTGAAAAGAGCTAGGTTTTACCAGCAGTCTTGTCGGGCAATCGTAAAAACTAAATCGACGCGAACCTGGCGTCCGACATGAAGAGAGGAAGAAGTTCTAAACACAGTTTGTTCATGTATATTTCCAGCGGGGTTCCAAACTACGACAATCTGTCCAAGTGGTGTCTGTTATTTTTCAAAATATCGCAAAGCAGCCGATGGTATTCGAAAGAGGAAGTTTCGTCGGCGACAAGAAGATTGCGACATTCTACGATTTAATAAATTCCAAAATAGATAAAAACTGCCTCATTGTTCTGGCAATTTTCGTTTGTTTTCACAAGCACATCACAAGAAATGACAGACACCCCTCTGATAGAATTTATAAGTGGTAGATTTGAATCTTCTGAGATACAATGGATACAGACGGTGCTCTTCCGACTTTGGCTGTTCTCGAGATATTTCGAATAACTTCTCATTCGACGCGGGGCTTGACAATATCTCCTTTAGAGATTTTCTCGAAGTTGAGAAGGAACTCGTCTACCTCCGTTACGAGTTGAAATATCGAGACGGAGAGATCACAGGCGTGGCTGACAGTATGGCCAATAATTTACGCGAAACTTATACGTGCCGGCATGTTTCGCGGCAATCGATTTCTTACATTGGGACATCTCCAACGTCTTTGTAACCCGTAACCAATCGTAACCCGATTTGGTTTCTTTCGAGTGGAATGCGCCTTCTCTTGAAAATTTATGCCTCATAACTTTGCGTAGAAGTTTACCGAAGTGGCACACATCGGGATATCTCGTTGTAATCTCGTTTGATCTCGTCGATAATAATCTCGTTGATAATACAAAATAATTCTTTCACATATGCCCTGACGCAAATGCGTTCTCGTTCTTTTCGCAGATATAGGAAGTATCTGTACGACTACGAATGCTCCAAGGAACATTTGTCCACTCCGGAAGAACTCCAAGTAGCCATCGACGGGAACCGTCGCGAGGGTCGTAGAAGCAGTTATAGCACTTATACAGGTAACGGCGGCGGTGAAAACTCGGTGGTACCTCGCGCGCAGCACATTACGAATCAGTTGGGACTGACGGCACCGCAAATCACGCTTCCACTGATAGCTACGGCAGGACATCACAACATGCTGAATGGGAGCGCCGGCCACAATCCGCTATCGCATCTTCACATGCCGCCCCAAGGAAATTCTCTCGGCCAAGGAAACAGTGAGTCTCTTTACGATCTGTTGGAACAATTCGATCAAGTAGATCTATAAGATCAAGTAGATCAAGTAGATTCGAAAACAAATGTACGATTTAAATGACAAAGTACAGTTAGCGAGCTCGAAAAGGGCCGACAATAAATGTCGAACGCATTCACGTATTGCACGCATTGCATGTATTGCACACATTCATGTACTTCTCTGTAGAGAAACGAATCTTCTGATTGAAGACAGACGTAACTGTAATTGGAAAATACTTAAAATTTAACTTAACTCGACTTCCGCGCGACTCGATCTTACTATTCGTACACGGAAGAAGTTATGGTTGATCCACACATAAATCTGGTTGTGCCAATCCGATTCAATACCGAATTTGGTTGGCATAATCAGATTTATGTGTGGATCAATACTATTTTTTCCGTATAGTTCTTTTGCAAGAAGAAAAGAAACGCAAAAAATTGGAAAACTGTATACTTACTGTAATTACAATGTAACGACGATTAATACATCCTTACCTTTATTGTTTACGAAATTGCACTAATTCGTAATAACGCTTTCTGTAACCGCAATTTCTGTTTCAAGTGAAAAGTTTAATGTCATATCAATCTCGTACGACGTTACGTAAAACGGAGATAGAAACGCCGAGACCTCTACGGAGCAATTAAAATAGAGAAAGAAGCTTGAAAAAAGGGGGCGTAGAGATAAAAGGATGTTAGAATACGAGCGCGGGAAAGGAAATTAAAAAAAAAAGAAACAAAAATTACGAAAACACACACAAAAAGAAACGGAAGAAAGGAGCGAGAGAAAGTGAAAGAGAGAGCGAGAAAGAGAAAGAGCAAGGGGGAAGGGAGAGCAGAACACGCGGGTTTATTTTAAATCGGTAGTTAGTGCTGCTTGGGGCCTCCCCAGAGATGATGATGCGAGAGCGAAGGAGGCGTAATTGATTGTACGATTCTCCGGAAGACAGGCGTTAACGGATGACTCTCGCTAACGAGCATTCCTATTTCCCTACCCTTTTCTTCTTCTCTCTTTCCACTTTCTCGCCGCTCCACGGCCGACGACGATCCGGATAACGTCGCGCTTCGATTGCATTCTACTATGTGCTTCTCGATCGCGACGATCCCGCGGATCCGAGCGTTCTGCATCTCTAGATACTTACGAGCATCCGATTGTTATTCGCATTGTTATTGCACAAGTGACCGTAATGCCGATGGCATCACGAACAATTTTTCATACATTCACACTATCACACGAAACACTTTGGCATGCATACTGTCCAATTTATTCAAGTATACTGAACATTGTACACTTGGGGGTTTTCTTTTTTTAATATAGCGATCGTTCATGATATGATTTGCAATTTGCTCATAACTGTCGCATGTTCGTCGACGCTAATAAGCTTCGACGTGCGCCGATCATTTGTCGCGATCATTTGTCCATCTATCGAATTTTTCGCTTTTGTTACGTATCCGCAACGTCATCTTGAATAAATTGGTCTTCAATCAACGAGTGTCATACGAGACACCGTACAAATTTTCGATGTTCAGTGACGTCGGTCGATGGCGCGCGGCCAATGAATGAAACTTTGTTATTTTAATTTAGTATGCCACGAATGTATTAGATCGCTGATTTGGAAAGCTGCGATTAACGTAATATCAATTAGCTCACATTGTTTACATATACATATATGAGAAAGACAAACAAAATACACACATATATGCATACTAATACACGTCAATGTTTTTTGCTTTCTTTGATATCCTGATATCTTTGACGATTACATAATTATTACAACGAAGCAGATGGTACTCTACAAAACTCATGTGGTTAAAGAACTTAATAGATCTGTTTTTCACATTATGTTACCGATATGATTTTGATTTGCACATTTTGTGGAAAGCGACATTAAGAGATCCAAGTACAAAAGGAAAAGAAAGAAAAAATACAAAATTTTTTGCTTGAGTTTACTGTCAAAATCGAATCGTGCTTGTTGTAATGGTTAGATCAATTTTAATTTTGGGGCAAGGAGAGCATTATATGACGATAAAAATGATGACGATATTTTCTTATTATTTTATACGAATGCCACACATTGATAATTATATCGCTGATGCTTATCTGTGACTGCTTACTTGATGCTTATCTAGTAATCTGTAATGATACGTAAGATAATTTGACGTAATGATTGTGAGTTAGTATCGCATCATTTTAGTTCGTACCTTTCCAGTTCAAGGTCCAGTACCTGGTCAGACACCTTCGACCGATGTCGTCCTTGAATACATTAAGCTATTCAATTTATCGACAAAGGAAGACGCGGGTACACCGTCATCGTTAATGTACCGACAAAATGCATGCATTGGTAATGGGTCTCCGGGAGCGACGTCACCACCACGGGACAGCACCGGATCCAACCCTATGGGTTCTATGGACGTGATAAAGTCTTCGTGGCTATACAATAGTATGTATTCAGGCAGGTCGCGGCAGTTATCCTCGCCCCCACGGAATCAACCACGGTCTCCGGTGCTAGGAAGAACCCGGTCGCCGGGTCTACTGAGATCCCGTTCACCGATCCCGATACGCCGACATTCGCCGGTACGAAGATCAGGCAGTCCGGAACCGCAAGCTTTGGATCTGGTTCGGTAAATAGAGACAGGATCTTCTTTTCATTTGTGGCGTATAAAGACACACTTTCTTACATCAATTTACATCCGCAGATCACCGGGACGTTCTCCTGCTATACGAAGCCCGCCAACCTTGCCGGGCGGCATCATCCACATGGGTAGGAACCAGCAGTTGTCGGCAGTGCCAAGCCATTCTTCTGCAACGAGAACCCAGGATGAAGAAAATGCACACAACAATTATATCACGATCAACTGCCAATCCACGCGAAGTAAGTCGGACGGTCTCCCTTTACCTTTATAATATTTATTAAAAAGCATACGTGCTATATACTTACATGTTATATCAATATCAGTGGCATGAAAGAAAAAATAAAAAGGATATTTACTGGTTTGCTCAACTTATTTACTCTAGTACAAAAATTATATCAACTCATAGAGTCAAAGCAATTCATCGAAATATATATATACCGGGACGTTCATCAGCCGTACAAAGTACACTATCCTTACTAGGTGATATCATTCACAAATGGACAGACACTGGTATTCGTCAGGAATGCCAAGCCATTCTTCTGTGATGAGAACAAAACAAGGACAATGGGCACAATAATTATATCACAATCAACTATTATTTTACGCATAATCTATGCTGATGCTATTCGTTGTACACATTTATGAGTTTGTAGAGTACTTTGATAGATATGAAAGATATAAAAAAAGAGTAAAACTTTTGTATATATTCTATATATAACAATAATTATATTCTTATTTCTGTCTTTTTCAGGAAATAGTCTTGGTTCTCTATCCATTTGCGCGACTTTCGGCGGTATTGTCTACGAGGGAGTCCTGTTACCTCGAGACGACAATGAACCGTCGTCACAGAGAGCGACGCCCGAAAACACCCAGTGAAGAGCGTCGCCAAGCTCCTCCCGTACGACACAATAACATTGCGCAAACAAAACAGAGGTGTCATACGGGACCGTACTCATTTCCCGAAATTCAATAGAACAAGTCTGTCGTTAGTCAGATTTTTTCACAGACAAAAACTTGCGAATTAAAACTTGCAAAAAGAAGCAACAAGAAAATAGACCGGCACTATCCAGATGATAATAATAAGCTGCTACATTATAGATGTATATATTTGTAATTTCATTTTTATTTTATGGAGATTAGTAAAGACTATTAATTTAAAGATCAATAAAGACTATTAGTTTAAAGATTAATAAAGACTATTAATTTAAAGACTAGTAAAGAAGTATTAAGGACTTTCTCCAAGTTGTCTGCAATTGGTCTTTTCAATTTTGATAAGTTTTTACCTGTGAAAGTGCACTGCTGTTGACAGCAGAACGAAACGGCTTGATTCTGTGGGAGATGACTTGTAAATACTTATGTATAATATTGAATTACTATATTGTGATACTAGGTATTTGACAAGTTGTTGTATTCAAAAAAACCAAATGTGATAGTAAACAGATAATAATATATGGATCTACTTTAGATATATGTTGTAATATTCAGAGATCCAGTTAACATCGATTACTTACTAAGCACTTGATTTTTTTGAATACAATGTATGATATCAGTGATAAATAGTATAATAAAAAAAAATATATGTAAGTGCTTATTTCTTAATATACATATACATATAATACATATACACACACACACACACATATATATGTGTATGTGTATATGTATATATATACATTCATCTATATTGTACGCCCATATATATTGAGAAACATGGATATTGACGTAATTTACACAAAACATACATATTATCATATTCTCGCAATAATTCAAAATATAACAGAGTTAATTCAATAAAGTAGGAACACATTCTGGTCGCACATTTTATGGATGTTGAATGCTGCCAGTCTGCCATCATAATTTAAAACAGATTTCGTTAAATTTTTCTTGACATTTTCTCAATCCACATGTGTATATAATTTGTATATATTGTTAAACATTTTGTTCATAAATAAAATACCATATGTAGCATTTGCTAAGATCATACTCTGTTTATTATCAAATATATATAGACGTAATAAAAGACTGTTATGTAAAATAGCTTAGGACTAACTTCTTGTTAACATTATAAATAATAATAATTATTCATGCATGTCATTGATTGAAATATATGGATAATATTAATAATTATTAAATTATAAATGATATTATTCATAATAATATCAATATGATTGATGTAATGATTATTACGGGGTCGATCGTATTATATATGAGGAACGTCGTTGTACATACAATTATCATACAGACAGCGCAATCTCCAAGGGATATTCTAAAGTCTACGTCGAGAACATTATATGTTCAAAGAACGTTTCTAGATAGTTTCCATGATGTTTCTTGAAGATTTGTGCTGTCTGGACACACATGCATACAAATTGATCACTGTACATAATCATACACTTTATCATCCAGTTACTATAAAATTAATAAGAAGTTAGTATTATATAACTATTATTATAATTATTATTACATCATACTTTTAACGCGCACGCGCGCGAATACAAAACGTAGCAGGTATAATAACTTAATCAAAATAATCTAATTTTTATTTTGCATGCATCGAGAATACAAGTTAGTTCTTTCCTTTAATTTTTTTATTCGTTTCTTTTATGAAATTTATGATATTCGATTATAGTATTTACACAATGGACTACTCTTCGTGTTTTCACTTTTTGATATGAACAAATAACAAAACGACATGAGATTTATGACGATATTAACAACCACTTTAAGAAAAAACATGACATAACTTTATTAAATATGCTGAAACTTACTAAATAATTGTTTCTCTCACATATACAGATATTTTTAACGTATTTGATTATAATTGTTATTATTGTTATTATTGAACATCGCGAGAGAACGTAAACGAAAATAACAGTCCCACTTTACTGTTTATTCTCGATCATGCGGTTTCTATATATATATATATATATATATATATATATATATATATATATAATATGTGTGTATATATATATATATATATATATATATATATATGACAATATATTTTAATGTATAAATCTTATATATGCTTATATAAGTATCTCTTAGTTTAACTTAGATTAACTTAGATTAAGTATGAGCTATAAGAGATTAAGTTTTCTATTTTGTGTGTAACGTAGTGTGTAAGCTCGTAAAGTTAGTGCAGGCCTGACAAAGTCTATCGAGGCACCGCCTCGTTCCCCGCTTCATATTGCGGGATCCGTGTATCATACGCATGTACACGAAACGCGTGGTACCGTCTTAGCTTTTTTTCTGTTTCATTCGGCAAAAGACACGACGGGTATAGGCTCGTGAAAACTTGAACAGGTCTGCTTTACTGTAATAGAATTATAAATAAATACATGAAGACTGTGTACTAATCATAAATATATCATACGATTACATCAACTCACCTAGTTTCGAACATCAATCAAAAAATTCTCGATAATCGATGTTAATTTTTCCTTTTCTTCCGTACTCGCAAAGCTGTATTGTACAGATAATACAGACAATTCCTTAAGCTGCTCTCTGCCAACGTCAAAGACAGAGCTCAATATCTTCAATTCGTTTGACAAGCATGTGTCAAAAACACCTTTATCATCGGTCTAAAAACAAGGACATCTCTTATAATACCATTTTCCCCTCACGACATTTTTAGCGATATATCTTGAAGTATTTTTCATATACTTACTCCGATAGTTATAGGATGTCCAGCTTTGTACAAATATTTAAAATGATGAGCTGCATATGACGATACTGTTTTGCATTTAACGTTCGATGTCAAGCATAACTCTAGGAACGAAGAAAAGTGCAATAATATGAATATAGACAGCTAATATTCGCTAAAATATTTGTTCATGAAGTTTCTAAAACTTATAGCATACCACTTAAAATAATAAACAAGAAAATTGAAAATGGTTCCATTATCACAATGTTTCTATTAAGAAATCCCTTACCAACAGGAACTTTGGATTGAAGTAACGTGTCAAACAATTGTTCAGAACCTTCTAAACTGGGATGAATACAAGTACAATGTCCCAGTCGGTCGGGTTTAAATTTTAAGATATCAATTGTCTCCTTCTCATTTAGTATCTGTACACATGTTACGTTGTACGTTGTACAAATGTATTATTTTTATTTAATATATTTAAAAAGAATGTAATATTTACCTCTGCACAATGAGCTGCAATTTTAAGACCTGCTTTTCTAGCTATTTTTAATAATTCTAAGAAAGAACCTTCCGCTGTTGGATCGCCACTTAGATCTAAGCCAACAACATATTCTGGATACTGTTTCATAAACTGTATCGCAAGATCTACATTTTCTTTTGCAGACTTGTAACCATGTTTACGATTGATTGATACCAATAATTTCACAAGAATCTGAGGAAATTGAGATTTAGATGTTCTGCAAGATATCAGATACATTAAAACAAACAAAAATAAATATTTGATTAGTACTATGAGATAGCTAATTATTTACTCTAAGGCTCTTATCATAGCTTCAAGATAGTCTTGTTTTGTCATTAACCCTTCCACAGCACGAGGTGTGCTTCTCAATTCCAAATAGATAACATTATCTTCGTGAAATTCTTTTATTACATCGCAAGTAGCAACAAATACAGCTTGCGGTGTAATTGTTAATGCATGAGCTATCTCAAATATCTTAAAACATCTGAAACAAAAAAAGAATATATATTTGTCATATGTTATCAGTGAACACTTTTTTTTAAGTCTTAAAAATATTTTATAAGAAGGTAAGAAAATATATTTTTTCTTATTACTCCGTCAAGGATGACAAATTCCTAATTTCCATAAATGTTTGATCACATGTGGTAATCTGATTATCTGACTGTTGCATCTTATGCAACTTTTGCAGAGTGGTCAAACTTAAAGAACCATTCAAATGTGCATGCAGTTCCTAGATAACAAAAAGAAGCAATTAGTTAAATTTACACTAAAACACAAGATTACAGAATTTATTTTAAAGACAAAAATATTTTTTATAATACAAAATAAATATAAATAGTTATATCTATCTTATTAATCTCTTAAACTTATTAAATATGCATATTTATAATATACATAAATATATATAATATATCCGAAGATACATACCACTTTAGGCAACTTTTGACAAAAATCTTGTATATCCATTATACTAAATAATTAATTAAAAATATTAAGTAAAAGATTAAAAAAAATTCAAATAGAGAAGTAGTATTTTCGTTTTACTTTTCAATATTCAAGTATATTTAAGTACATATTCATTCAGAATGCATCTTCTTATTTAGAAGCCTGTTCTTTGTATGATCTTCTGAACTTCACTGCTGAATTGGTGCAATAATTTAGAGTGAGAAAAAATATACTTATCTCACTTTAACTTATTGCACCAGTTCAGCAGTGCAGCTGAAAAAACAGACTATTTGTCTCACTCTAACTTATTGCACCAGTTCAGCAGTGCAGCTGAAAAAACAGACTATTTGTCTCACTCTAACTTATTGCACCAGTTCAGCGTGCAGCCGAAAAGAACAGACAAATAACTGCACTGTTGAACTAGTGCAATAAGTTAGAGTGAGAAAACATATATTTATCTCACTTCAATATATTGCACCAGTTTAGTAGTGCAGCTACAAAGAACAGGCCTTATGTATACTCAACAAAAAATGTTAGAGTGGAAAGTCACGTAAGAGTTTTATATCTTTATACAAGCTTGAGTGCCATCTCGTGAGTCAGATGTTCAAGTTTCGTATCCCCCTTATAATGCGTGGACGCGGTATAATTCGAAAAAATTTTATTGAAAATTTTATTGAAAAAATTTTATTGAAAATTTTGATATTTAATTCCAACTTATTTTCGTGCAGCTTCGTAAGAAATGAGCGAACTTTACATTTAAAAATATATTTGGAAATTAGAAACTTTAAGTTGTAAAATGCTCGTTGAACCATCTAATTACCATTATTTTTGCGGAATCAATAACTCATTGAATTTGATCGTTTCACAATCGAGATAACTAATACTTCAATTCTTGTGTAATGTATATAATAAAATGCGCAGTTAACAGATCACTTCATTTGCATAAAAATTATAGTGCGATGTTAATTACTGCATTATCATATCCTGTTTATTTTCCTCTGTATATTTCCATACTAGTGAGCGTTTTTATTCTGTCCTTGCTCGTGTCCTGAGTCGGTTACTGTGTGGTCTCGCTGCACTTAAAAAGAACAAACCTATTAAAATAACTTTGTATTTGCGAGCATCTGACAGCACAGTTCTCATCAGTTCCTACCACGTGCGAAGAAGACGATTCAGCGAACTTGTTGCTCTCCAATTTTAGACAGGCACGTCGTGTAGTCAGCCGCCGCGTCATTCGAAAAATGCAGCAGAAAGAGAACCCGACTTGTCTTTCCAGCCCATGACTTTCCTCATTAAAAGTGCAGCTACGTGTCGGTGACGAATAGCGTGATCATTGATGTTGTGAAATAACGAATACATTATTTAATTACGAGAGACAATGGAAGCGTTAATTGTGCAGTACGATCGTTTTGAGAAGAGAATAATGCAGAATGTCGAGCGCAATGGCATACAACATCGGTATGCAGCTAATGTTTCATTATCTCTGTTTCCTTCAAAAGCGAGATAACCTTAAAACATGTATCTTTCATCAGCATCGCAATTGTCGTATTTTATTATGAAGTTGTAGCGAACGCACGTTCGTTGTTTGATATTACTTTGTATACTGTTACCACAGAATTGAAGTCTAACAGAAGTTGAATAAAGTACTTGAACTCCGGAATCATGAGTCATGCATCTCATTTCTTGTTTACAGGTCTAAAGCAAGCACTGGATTATGGCTGGGCACTTTAGTCGGCCTAAGCGCAGCTGTCACGATATTGAAGGAGGAGAATAGTTACTCTGAGATATGTCTGTTTGTAGGAACTACTGGTTTCAGCCTTGTTCTCTGTTCTGTTTGTCTTTACGTGCGACTTTCCATGCAGCAAGTCACAGCGAAAGATTTTCACGCTATATATTTTTTGCCAGCTATTGTAATGTCCATATATCTACTTGCAGCTAACAAAGGTATGTCAATCCGTAGATCATCCTTGAATAATCTACTTACTATCCTGGAGTACAATTCTTTTGGCTATTATTAGGAATATAAGGTCTGTTCTTTATAGCTTAACTAGTGTATACTTCTTGAACTTCAGAAGAAACAGGTATATAGCTGTGACTTGGTATAAAAAAAAAAGAGAGAGAGAAAGAGAACTAGTGCCAGTTCAGCTGCAAAGAACAGACCAGTAGATAGCATGCCATTGATATGCAAGATTCAGTAATGATATGCAGCTGGTTCTGATTACATTTTTATATTGATTAAACAAGAACAGGATTATTAACGAGTGTCACATGGGGCTTAACTGTGGGCAGTTTGGGCACATGGGGTGTCCTGCAACTAATGTCAGCTTTCCCGCATTGCTTCACAATGGGAGAAGCAACGGCAATTATGCATAGTTTTATTTTGTTTTTGATGTCAGCTGTCACAAACTTACCCCTGCGATATCATTTGCCCCCGATTCATGATAACGACATCAGCACAGCTTTGTTACAGGTATTAAAGTGCAAGAATTACTTGCCATAATATAACTTACCTTTTACATTGGCCTAACACATTATTGCAGGTTGGAATATTGTATGTAGTGTCAGTATGTCTCCTGTGTGGATATTTTCCTGTCCTGCATAGCGCAAAATACTTTTACTTAATGACAGTCAGCCTCCTGTGTTTCATAACTCTTCCAATACTTTATATTATTCTCGATCAGAATCCAGTAATGTGGATAATTTCTTTTGTTTTTAGTAGTCCTAAACGGGTAAGTAACATACACAATGTTATATTTGATTTATATTATTAATTTTTCTTATATCTGTATGTTACATCAGCGATTCATAGAAATTATAGATTGTTGATATGACATACAGATATAGTATAAAAAAAACAAAAATGCTCCTTGCTAATTTCATTTCTTTTAATTTTGAATATTGCAGGTTGCATTAGTTATTTATTGGGCGATATGTGTCGTGTTAAGTATTTTCATCATAATATGCCAAATTTCATCAAAGTCTCAAGCCACAACTTCAACCAGAAAGAATTTTCACATCTTGGCTGTATTTGTATATATCCCTGGTATGATATACGATACTCCGATGTTGTATCTTGCTAGTGGTGTGATATTTGCGCTGTGTGTTGCTCTCGAGGTATGTTGCATTCTCATTGCATTTGTCTGCCTATTGTATTTGTAAGTCTCGTTTGTTCTTGATGCGGTAATTGTCAACGAATTTTAGGTGATCAGATTTTTGAAAGTACCACCTCTGGGGAAAGTTTTGCAAGAGGGATTCGTTGTATTCGTCGATGAGAAGGACTTTTTGCTCTCTTTAACACCTTTGTACCTAATATGCGGTCTATCGTTTCCACTCTGGATGCCAACCAGTAATTTGACATTGCTAGCGTTATTGAGCGGCGTGTTGACAATAGGAATAGGCGACTCAGCAGCAAGCTTGATCGGCAGCAAATGGGGTTCGCACAAATGGGTGGACACAAACAAAACCATCGAGGGCACCGTTGCATGCGTGTTTTCTCAAGTTTGCGTAATATTCGCTCTAACCTGCTGTGGTATATTTCTTTTCATACATATTTCCAACGTTTTTTTGTTCCTCCTGACAAGGCTATTAATTATTCCTATTTATTTATATTTTACCAGGTTTCATGGATAGTTATTGGTTATTGCTCAGAAGCGTGTTGACGGCTGTAGTGATTGCGTTGATCGAGGCACGCACAGATCAGGTAGACAATTTGGCTCTACCGTTGTTGATGTACGTGTGTTTAATGTTATAAACATATACGTCATTTTCCCAAGTTCGATAATGACTCGGTAACTTGAATTAGTTTGCTAAGAAGCCATGGCAATCGTATTGCAGTCATTTTGTAGTAGAGTTTTAATTACTTTCCGTATTAGGAGAAACATATACAAGTGACTTTTTGCGGATCGCTTAATATTCTTTAGCACGCTGTTGAAAAATGTGCAAATTATATTTTGACTGATATACACACACAATCGTATATTAAGATGCTGTTCTGCGCACAGATAACTTATCGTAATCGAAAATCGTGAAGGGTTTTGAGCGTTATCGTTAATTAGCGTGGTGATCGCTAAATGTCGTGAACGATTGGCATTACTTGTTAGAAATACAAACAAATGAAAATGCAGTCATAAATGTGATTAAGCTAAGTGATAATGATGTACAAATGTCCATACATATGAGTCAAGCGCGGTGTTATGTATATATCAATGTAATATATATATATAATTTATATATTTATCCAAAGATTTCTGAACCATACAATGTGCAAAGAACTGCATTATATTAAATATTATCGACCTAATTGTGAATACGTGGACCGACGAAGGCGGGTGTTGTATGTCGCATTTAAGCTTCACTAATATACACTTGCTATTGTAATATTTTAAGGTTTATGAGACACCGATAAATGTGCCTGACCTATTTCGCCCATTCCCAACAAAGCATTCTCTTGTACGCTAGCTTTGTGAATTTTTTGACAAAGTTGTTAATGTGAATAAAGTATTTTTCTAATTATGTAATTATTGTCGTCCTTTCTCACATTATCTCTTCTCACGAAGAACAACTATGCATCAATTGCTTGGAAATTTCAGCTAACTCCAAATTATTTGTCGCTAGCTGAGCAAGATCAGGGTTACCTGCAACCATTGTATACTCATTTCACTACCTGAAGCAGATTTTGCTGATTGTTGAAATGAATATTGTGTAAGATATTAATTTTCTATGGTAATTAGGAATTTATTTGTAAATATTTGTCCACTGTTGATACTGTGACCTCCTTGCTGTCTGACATTAAAGCACTTAATGTATCCTTGTCAAGAACAATACTGAACATCTCATTGGGAAATTTTAATTGAGTGGCATCCATATATTCATACACCAAAACTATGATTGTATCATTATTTATATTTTGTATTTGTTTGATGACAGTGTGTGAGATAATGATATTAATAATATTTCTAAGAAGATAGTTTTACAATATATTCATTAAGAATAATGTTAACTATTAGAACTATCTATTGTTTAATTTTACAACAAATCTTAGTTGCAATTGTGTATAAGCATATTGCAAAATGAATATTTACAAAAAAATTATATACTTTTAACTAACATTGTATTATTCAACATTGTACTATTTTATGCTAAGTGACATATTTAGCATAGAATTTTCATAACATTTTCATAACAATAATTAAAATGTCATCTTTGTCAACTCTGATATACTTTAAAAATATCTTACACAATATTGGATATTTTTATCTCATCATATTCAATTATATGAAATTTTATCTATTATGTTTAATCATATTTAAACAAAAAAAACTAATTAGCAACATGTGATAATCCAAAAAATTGTTTTAAAATTATTAATAATATTAGAACGATTTTTATATCATTCAAAGGCTTTTTTGCTATATTTTGTAAAATAATGTTTCCCGTACTGAGAATATGTAGGACATTTGTGCCAGAAAAAAATGATATAAATTTGTAAAATTTATCATACAGATTAAAAAATAAAATCACCTAAATATTTTTTGTAGAATTTAGTACTTTAGTTTGTTAAACGAACATACATTAGACGAAAATGTTTTCTGTGTTTGTTACAGCTCTTTTAAGAGAGTGTTATGTTTATTTTTTTATGATGATAAAATAAAAAGACGTTTAATACGCCGTTGAGTAGTACTTGATGAAAAGAAGGTGTGTCCCGACTCATTACGTAGTCATATCACGATTTCAACCTCCAGAAAGTGGCGGCTCGTAGCGACAATTTTGGAACTAAGTTGCAACGTCACACGTGGAAATAACGGGTTTAATAATGGGCGCATTCAGTAAAAAAAGCGCTCAGTGAGCAATGAGCGATTATTTGTTCTTACTATTAGATCCCTGAATCTAGACCAATTACATTACGAATTGCTTATCTTTTGACCAATTACATCGACGAATTGTGCAACTGTTGAGCTGCTGAATGCAGCCACTGTCTTAAACCCCTTATTTGCTGGCTTAATGTTTGGTTGGTAGAATTTGTCTTATGTATGCCATCAATGGGCATCCCTTTCGCAGGATGGCCGTTGATTTTAATACCAGAAATCTGAATGTCACGTCTTGCGTAAGCGTACCTCCCTTCCCGATATTTATTTCATGTTCCTCGAAGTTGGAGGAGACATATTTAGTACAAATCTCCCCGTCTCTTTAAACTATGACTTTAAACTGTCCATTCCTTTTTCTTGTCTTCCTGTTAATGTTGAAATTGGCAATAAGATTCTGGCGCTTTCCTCAAATGATCCTACGAGCCTCAACCTTCTGCTTCAACCTCCTTTCCGGATAAATTCTTTCAGAACCTTTTACTTTCATACAAGCTTTTTAATCGGCGAATTTACTTTATGGACGGTTCCAAAAACGACAAAGGAAGAGTCGGCTGTACCGTTTTTTCTCCTGACTCCAATTTGGTACTTAAGTTTAACCTAGGAGGAATCTATGATATTTGAGACTGAAGCACTGGCAATTCTCCATACAATGGGAACTATAGCTGAATCTACACCCCCTGATTAGTCTCAGACTCGCTAAGTGTATTAATGGCACTTCCCATACAGCACAGTAATGTTGAATCAATGTTGAAAGAATGTTGAATTGCAACAATGTCAATATTGCAGCAACATTGAGAAACATTGAATCAACGTTGCACAAACCTTGATGTAATGTAAAAATGTCGTGTTCGAATCATTGCCGGGAATGTTGAAAGTAAATATTGTGTGTTTGTCATGGCGAAATATCATCAAATAAATATCCAGAATGAGAGATATGTTGTGGCACGGGCAATGGGAAATTTCTGGAAGAATATCGCGCGTTCGTTATTGTCGAAGGATAGTGTTGTGCGCGAATATTGTCGCAAGTGCTTCGGAAGTAAAGGATCGTCTATAATGCAGTTGCAATTATATTTAAAAATTGTAGCATTAGTCTGTGAATCGATCATGTATTCATTTACTTTGCGTAAACTCGTGAAAAATGCCCTTATAGAAATATCATACTAAGAATCATTGATAATTACTTATTTTCAGTATTAAAAATACTGGATAATAAGTAATTATCAATGATTCTTAGTATGATATTTCTATAAAGGTGAAAAGTTTCATTAACGAGTTCGAGAGAACTTTTCAATTTTTATTAGTTTACGTGAAGGAAATAGACACATGATCGATCACAGATTAAGGCTACGACTTTAAAATGTAAATTTGACTACATTGTAGACGATTCCTAAGTCTCGTGCACGGAAAAAAAAGATTTGATTGAATTAACCAAATATCTGGTCAAATATGAATGATTCAGAAATTCCGATTGAAGTAATCCGAATTGTATTTAAGTTAACAAACAAAAGTTAAAAACAAAAGATTTTTGGTAGACTAACCAAACAAGTCTGGTTATTTAACCAATTTGGTTAACATGTTTGGTTAGTTTACCAAAAATCTTATTAACTTTAACAGAATTCGGGTTACTTCAATGAGAATTTCTGGATCGTTCATATTCGACCAGATATTCCCTTATAGAAATATCATACTAAGAATCATTGATAATTACTTATTTTCAGTATTAAAAATACTGGATAATAAGTAATTATCAATAATTCTTAGTATGATATTTCTATAAAGGTTTGATTAATTCAACCAAACCTTTTTTCCGTGTGCGTTCATTTTAACGAAATATCGTCAAATAACGGCTCGAACCCTTATAGAAATTTAATATTACTCAATAATAAATTGGCCAGTTATTTTTAGTAATTTTATTACTAGTTACTATAGTAACAAGTAATAAAACTATTAAAAATCATTGGCCAATTTATTATTGACAGTATTAAATTTCTATAAAAGAAGTGAGTATGTCACGAAATGGATAGTCAGGAATTCAAAGGAAAATATCGCACATTTATTATCGCCACAAGTAAATATTCAGAATGCCACAACAGAGCAACTGGGAGTCAGGGATGCATTGGTGTCAGTGTCAGAATCAGTGTCAGTAACAGCGACAGTGTTTGTTTCTGTTTTTCTACCAGAGTAAGTTCTAATCGGCTTCTGCTTTTCTGTTTCGTGCTTTCGGTTTTCTAAATTCTTCCTAAGAATCAATATCAAGGTTTAAAATCTCAAGTGTGAATATTTAAAAGCCAGCCGAGTCTTATACTACGTAGCCAGTGAAATAATCCGTACATTCTCTGAAGATGAACTTAAATATAAGATCCGACTATGAATACCTGCTTACGTACCATGATGGAGCAACCGACTGGCTAGAATGTTCGATAGAGAGATGAGGACAGAGTCTAACGACGCGGAACAAGGTAGGAGAATAGCTTGCACAGAGTTAAATTAAATTGCGTATACCTGCGGTCTCATCAAATTCTGATCGCTTTGTAACTTTCGCAATTAATAGCTCGATTATGCATACAGCAACGTTAATAAACGAGTTGTATGCACAGATATCTATATTAAACTAGATTGCTAACAGGCTATCTAAAAGCATATAACAGCTTGCGTCCGATAGGTTTTCCGGTGTATGCGAGAAAATGGCCGCTACCGCCACATATTTTCATTACGTTTAGTCATAAAATTCTTTTGTTGAAAATAAGCAGAATAAATAACGTCCAATACCATCTATTTTTTTTTTACGATATTTTCTGATGTAATAAGATGCTGGCATTTTTGGTTTTACGACAGTGATTTAACGGTCACGTTGACTCACATTGTATGTTGTAAGTACTCACACAAGTGACACATCACACACACACTGGACCGCCGCCATTTTCTCGTATACAGCCGGAAACCTTATGCGACGCAAGTTCGAAGCCTCAGTTAGTAATCTAGTTTAGTATAGACATCTGTGATTGTATGACAATAACGTTATATACGATTGTTGACAATTACGTTGATTTTGGATTCGATACTTATCACATTGATATATTCAATTCCGCTTACTTGGTGACTCTGCATTATCGGATCGGTCTGTTACAAATTTACGTCATTAAATTCTCAGCAATAAAGCTACGTCGATGCGATTAAAATTCTTTATATTTTGTTTATAGACTCCATTCACAAAATAGTATTGATAATACGATTGCTACTAGATAATGAAATGTCTCTTTTTATACACGGTGAAATGTGATATGCTATTTCCATACACGCAAGTCCAACAAATACGCAAACTTCTCGATTTGTAAATTGATATTATCATTATTCACGTCGAGCAACTTAGAATTCTACTTTTAATTGTTCTATTATTATTATTATTTTAGCATTTTATTTCATATATCCTTTGTTTTATGGAAAAAGTGTTCAAACCATGTATATATATAGACATAATAGCCTAAATATATAATGCAACTGAACTATTAAGATTTTCTTTTCGTGTAAATATTATTGATATATTAATTACTTAAAGAAACAGAAATTACGCAGAAAATACGATAATCTAACGTTGCGATAGTTTTATGATTAGAACCTGTTAGTAATACAATTGCATTGCGTGTTAACGCTATTAT